AGTGAGTTTGAGTTCATGCAGGATTCTAAACTTACACAGCTCTGTGGAAATAGTTAATAGAATATACCATGCTGCAAAGCCCACAGATTCAAAGTAAATTGAATATTCATGACTAAGAGACTGGGGAATGCCATCTAATAAAAATTCATGACTCTCCCCAATTTCTAACCTGAGGCTTTTTTAGGCCTTGAACTCACTCACTGAAGAGAAACTGAATCCCTGGAAAGAACCCTGCACCATCCACTTGAGTATATATGATAATGACTCTATAGGTTCTTTCTATAGGGTTCTGCATCAAAGTGCTTACATAGACACCTACTACTGAAACATTTTGAGGACTAGTAACATGAGGTCCAAGTTGCCCGGATATCTAGGATTCTGTAGTCGGCAAGTTACCATAGGATTATCTTGTCATGACATGTTCCAGATCATCTAAAAACTCCAATTTAATACAATGATGAGATGGCCTTTTGAAAAGGCAGCTGAATCTTGTAGAAATAACACCCAGTGAGGAGCTGATGTTATCCACTAGGATACAGTTTAATCCTAAATCAGTGCTCACTATTGTATAATGTTTTATTTTCTGTAAAGTACACAGGTGTAAAAATCAAGTAGTAACCTCACTCACTCCTGTCTCATCCGATGACCCACTTGGGGAGTCTACACCTCTCTTCCCACATCTCTGAGCTTTGCCAGTTTAGAGCCTGAAGTTCCCAGAGAGGAAAATAGCTTATATTAAGTGACCCAGCATGAGCCCTATTGACTTTTACACATAAACGTTATGCAGCTACTTAGTTTCCTGTGTCAGGAAACAGCAGGTAAGGAGTCACTGTCTTGGCAGGAGTAACTAGCCTGTAAGTTCTGCAGGAAGTGGTGCTATGTTGCATCAGGAGGCAGGAAAGAATGTGTGTGATGCTTATCTCATCCATAGGCCAGCTCTTGGGGTTCTGTCCTCCAATTATGTTGGTAAATAGGCCCTTGTATCAGCCGTGGCCTTAGAAGAGCATGATACCCAAGATCTCAAACTTCTCGGGGATAAGGCTTTGCAAGCACCACTAGGGAAGTTACCTAGACCTTAAAAGGATATTCTAGCCCAGGATATGAACAAGATACACTAGCCCAAAGTATGAAGAATTTAGAGGTAGTGGTACAGGAAATGGTAAGTAGCATCCTATCACCATACTGTTTTGAATTTTTTCTGAAACAAGGAAACTAGCCCGAATCCTGGATTAGTCCCCCACCCCCATACTAGCATCCGCTGTAGCAAAAGGATCTGAGTGGATACTGCAGTGCATCACCCTCATCCCTTCCTCAAGACCAAAGTAGGCTTTTTTCCCTCAGCTGATAGCTGTCAGTTCATTCCCTTTCTACAGATTTTCCTAAGCCAGATAAAACCCAGCCTTCCCAAGGTCCTACACCTTGGTGAGAAGCAGTACAAACTGCCTAGCTGCTTCCTGGAAGATGGGTGTGTAAAGGCTTAGCCACCTTGCCCGATGGCAAGAAAACTTTTGAGGGGACATCAGAGCTCCAGAACTCTTCCAAAGTCAGTGAGACCTGTGTCATGAATGCGGCATAATTCAGTCCTTCCCACACTCAATCCTCTTTCCTTCACTCCCTCATAGGTGAGCTAGGAGGTCCTGCCTAATACGCTTACTATACACACATCCTTTAGTATCTCTGATCTTATAAATCTGAGCTAAGGTGAATATGCATGTGCATTATATACTTAGGAAGTATGGAATACATGAAATGCATTCAAAGCAATATGGAACATACCTGTTTGTACATATATAAATATATGCATTCATGTGCACAACTAGGTATAACCTCCCTGAATTTTTTTTTTTTTTCTAGCCATGCCATTATTTTACTTCTGTAATCTTCTTGGTGCCTCTTAGCTTTTAATTCTAAAGAGAAGAAATTCACTTGAGAATTTCATGAAAGACCGGTTCCTGAACACATAAGAATCTAGCAGGTAAAGCAGCCAACAGAACATTCTGGAAGCTTTGCCACAGCCTAAGATTCTCATGAGTCCAGTGACCCAAAACTCACCCATACCACAGAAGAGCAGGATCAGCCAGTTGTTCAAATTTAGTCTATTTCTGACTGAGCCTGCTGACACCACCACCTAACAAGAAAAGACCTAGGAATGCATCAATAAATTGATGCTGGGAAGTGTAATACTGTTAACTACTCACCACCCGAGGATAGCCACCATTGTTACATCGGCTTATTGATTACCAGCCAATTGTCCCTCTCCTAAGCTTTTTGGTCTCAGAATGCTGTTGATCTTACAATCTCCTGCAGATTCAATCTTCTGAAAAAGAACCAACAATTAAGAGACACTAGATTTGACAAAAAAGAAAAATATATTTTTTTTACAGTAAGCTTACTTTTTTTCAGCTCATTGAAATTCAGTTAAACTCCTATAGGATTATACCTAAAAAGCTAATCAGCAAATGAGTGAATATATGATATATGTGAAAAACTTGGAAATTTTTATGATAAGGATGCTAGAATCTCTAAATATTAAGCCGGACAGCATATGTACCCCTGCACAATTAATAGAGTGAATTTTAAATGAGAGTTCTTTAAAATTTACCAAAAAGCAGCAGTTGTTCTGTAAATTTGCACTACTAAAATTAGAGGCCTTTGAGGTAGCTGTGAAAAGATTCTAATGTTGGAAGAAGGCAAAAGAACTTCAGAATGTTACAAAACTAGAAATCCAAGTAGGACTATCAAGCAACTCATATTAAAAAAATATTTTTAAGAGCTGAGAAAATTCTCTACTTTGATTCCATAAGGCAGCTATTACTTCACAAGCTTGGTTGGCTTTTTGTTGTTGTTGTTGTTGTTGTTGTTGTTGTTGTTGTTGTTGTGGTACAGGGGATTGAACTCAGAACCTTGTGCTTGCCAGGGAAGAGCTTATTCTACTGAGCTATCTCCCCAGCACCTGATTGGCTTTTTAATATTTTTCTACATTATAAAGATTCTTTTCTGAGGAAAAATATCTTTTAAATATACAGTGGTGCATCCTCACACACTCTATTACTCTTCTGGTCTGTATCAATGTAATAGATTTTTTTCAGGCTTTCCCATAAAAGTGCTTGGCATGTGGAAGCATTTGATAGCCTGAATGAACGAGCAAATGACCTATTAATAAGGAGAGTTGAGTCTGTTATGAATCGGTGAAATAATGGTAAGAAGACACAAAATCAGGAATTACTTAAATGCGACCTTCGTAATGATAGTAATATTAATACCAGTAACAAACTATTATTAGTGTGATAGCTAACTGTTATTGAACATTTACTATGTATGGAGGAATATGTGTGTTATCTCACGTAATCCTCAAACAGCCCAAATAATATGGGGCTGACACTATTTCTTTATTGATGACAAGAGAACTGAAGACCAGAAAGGTTAAGTACAACCTTTGATCATTATAAAGATAAAGGGGTGAAAGTGACATTGCAAGTGCTGACATGGCAGTGAATAAGTGGATACTGAGTTTTTGGCATACAGTAGACCGATCCTGCTGTTGTTTAAGCCAAGTACACATTTGATCTTTTTCTGTTATGCTCTGTCAGAGGATGGAAAACCAGCTGCATTTGTCTGGGAGTGCCTGTATTTGTATTAAAGTTTTAGTGGAAGTTTTAGTCAGCAGCATTCTTTTTTCATTGATTTAGATATCATCTCTGGCTGCTCTCGTACTGCCAAGGTAGAGAGGAGTTTTTGACACAATAAGCACATGATCAACAAACCCAAGATATGTACAAATCAGTCTTTTCCCAGAAAATGATAAACACCATAGTACATAATCTTAAAATGTATATAAGTGTCACCTATTTTTTCTAATATTCAGCAATAGAAATATCGATGCCTTTTAGTAGTGGCTTCTGTTAGCACATGTCAAATTAGCTAATCTAATCTAAGTTGTAAAATTTTAGGTAAGAGTAAAATTTAATTCATTTCAAGATAATATTTAGATCATATTTTACAAGTGTATAAATGTAAACATAATTCTTTCATTTTTAAAGTATATTGGTTATTAGTAAAGAATAATAAATTAAGAAAAAGAGTCAGCTGGGTGACATGATATTGATTTTTCTGTCCCTGGTGATTTCTCAGGTTCATTGTTCATTGTCTTCTAAATGAGAGATTTGAGTGTTGATCACTCTTATGAAGCTGCTGTGTGTGGCTGTTGGCAAAGAAATTAAGTACACAAGGTCATTTGTTTCCTCTGTGAACAGACAGAGATCTGAAGAAATAATGACTGTGCTTTTTCTTATCATCTCAACTTTGGAAATGAATTCAGTAAGTTCGAGGAAGGCAGTAGTGAGCCCGTTGATAAGCAATGCAATCAGGAAGGAATGTGCATCTTGGGTTAGTGCTATGTGAGTAAAGCGCTCGGAGAGGCCGGCCATTCATAACACAGATGCTTGGTTATTTGTATTTCTTCTAGATTTGGATGATCCAGTAGTAACTGTTCATCAAAGTATAGGTGAAGCTAAAGAACAGTTTTACTATGAGAGAACAGTGTTTCTCCGGTGTGTTGCCAATTCCAATCCACCTGTTCGGTACAGCTGGAGGCGTGGCCAGGAGGTGCTGCTACAAGGCTCGGATAAAGGAGTTGAGATTTATGAACCCTTCTTTACACAGGTAAGTGTGAAAGCATAATATTTGCAACCTGCTCTACCGAAATGCTTTCCTAACTAAAGCAGGATTATAGCTATTTAAAAATGTAGTTTTTCCAAATCGATCCTTTTAAAAACACAGAGTGTTTGACTGAAATGTCTGAGGATTTCAGTATAAAGATGAATTTTCTTGTATATGGCAAACTATGATAAGTATGATCTTATGATAAATATCTCTTGAAAGTGTCTCTTAATTTAATGTATTTTGGTTTGTATATCTTCATCCGTAGATTACCCTATAAATTATGTAATTGTACATTTAACTGATCAATTGAGTTTCTGGAAGATATTTCTTAAA